ACACACACCTCCATGCTCCAAATATCCCCTGCCCTCTCTCTCTCTCTCTCTCTCTCTCTCTCTCTCTCTCTCTCTCTCTCTCTCTCTTTTTAAAGCTATATTCTTCTCTCATCTATCTCATTTTTCTTGCTAGTACTCATCTATCTCATCCTGTCACTAGTGTATGTGTAGTACGGGGGAACACCAACCAACCCGGATGTGTCTTTTTTAAATTCGTTGGTTCATAAACATCAACAAATAGATTAAATACAATGCCTCAATTTTCGTATTCATTTTATGTTTAAATTGTTTTTTGAATTTTTACTTATTTGTTTGTTTGTTTGTTTATTACTGTAATTTTATAACTAATTTCACTTCAAAAAACGACCTCATTTCAAAACGGCTTCTCAACCACCCTCTTGTTTTTTCCTTATTGGGGTATCGAGGGGGTGGCGGGCTGGTACACGACCTCATTATAACTAAATTGTTACCCCGCAGGTAGTCTTCGGCCAAAGACAACAAGAAGACTGGATCATCGTCATCCTACCGATATTGCCCCCCCCCCCTCTCTCTTTAAAACCCCAAATAGACCAAGGCGCTCCTCTCTTAAACATCCTAATCCACCCCTCCTCCTCCTCCTCTCCTCTCGCTCTCCTCTCTCTCCCAGTCTTGTACATGTGCCCCTCACGACCGAGATAACCCTTTCTCCACAATCGCCAGCATCAAGAATGCCAGTGATTAAAAATAAAAACATAAAAAAAGAAGGCGATTTTTTTATTTTTTTTTATTTTTTAAGGGGGAAGGGTGTTGACGACGTGATTGGATCGTCGTTCGCAACCTGATCGCCTGGGTGCACGTGACGGCGCGATTGATTGATTGATTGATTGATCGATTGATTGATTGATTGATAAGCGCCAGCCTGATCAGGCGCCTGATCAGCAGCAGCCGCTTCTCTTCCGTCTTTCCCCGAAAGGAAAGAACGCACGTTCTTTTCTTCTTCTTTTCCTTTTTCCTTTTTCTGTTCATCTGATCACAACTGGATTGGAACAGAAAAAGTAAAAAGAAAAAGAAGAAAAGAACGTGCGTTCTTTCCATTGGTCTGTATTTCAAAAAAATTTCAACAGTTTGCCGAACGAGACCAATGGAAGAGAGGCGCTTCTCTACCGTCTTCCCCCAAATGGAAAGAACGCACGCTCTTGTTCTTGTTCTTGTTCATCTGATCACAACTGGATTCGAAGATCGGTCTGTCTTTCAACAGTTCACTTTGTGTACCAACTGAGCAACGTAGGCCTGTTGGAGTGTATTTGGGGCAACTTTCAGTCTAGATGCCGCGATAATGACCCTGCGATCTATTCGAAAGAAAAAGGTATAACGTAAAACTGCCTCTGGCTATGATCACAGCCTCAGCCTCATATAACAGCCAAAGAAGGGGATTACCCGACTGGTTGGTTTTTACCAATGAAATACGCAAAATTAATCGCTTCATTAGACAGATTAGCCGATCGATTAATCAGTAAGCGGGACAGATTAGCCGATCTTCGATTAACCAGAAAGCGGATCGATCAACGAGTCGTTTAAATACAAATTCAGACATGACAGATTAAACACCAGCCAATCAAGTAATCAATCGCCAAGCCGATTGATTAGTTGATTGATTGATTCCTTGATTGATTGCTCGTCCGAAAAACGGAACAATTTGTGTTATTGATTGCTTATAGTTGATTCATGGCATGATTGCCTGATTGACCACTTACCCCACAAGACGGATACACATTGATTGACTGTTTAACAGAATAATTGAAACATTGATCAAGTGATTGACAGATTGATTGACAGATTGACAGATTGACTGATTGATTGATTGATTGATTGATTAATTGATTGATTGATTAATTGATTGATTGATTGAACAATCAACTGCTGATTGATTGATATCCAATTAGTTCATAGATCGACTGAGATTTGTTAGTTGCTTGATGGATTGATTAAACAATCGACTGTTGATTGATTGATATTGATTCATTGATGGATTGACATCTATTAACTGATTGATTGATTGATTGATTGATTGATTGATTGATTGATTGATATTGATTGATTGATATTGATTGATTGATTGATTGATTAGGAACGATTTGAGTGGTCGAAACGATTGAGATCCGTTGATTGGGTGACTAGAGGAAGACTTGTCGATTGATGAATGAGATTGATTAATTGCTTGATGGGAATTGGTTTGTTGGAGTGATTTTCATTGATCCTGAACAACTCCGCTGCGCGCCGTCCGGCCAGGCTGGCTGTTTCGCGCGGAAAGCCCCGTGCGCTCACTGCCAGACGGTCGCGCAGCGCAGCGTAGAGCCCCTCAGCAACTTCTCCTCCTACAGTCTGCCCCCTCCTTCCCCCTTCTCTTCCAGTCCGCTCGTTCGTCGAGCGAAGCGGCGTTCGTTCCTTCGTTCGTTAATTCGTTGAGTACGACGAAGCGTCGCGTCAGGAGTATACCACTCTCTTCTTCCGAATAGAACGCGCGGTCCTTCTCTATGTATCTAGACTGAACATTGCCCAAAATACACACAGCTGTAATGACAGTGCGTTCGTTCTATTCGCCGGAAGATGGTTGGGGGGACACAACCAAAAAAAAAAAAAAAAAAAAAAAAGACCACGTGGCGGAAGAAGAGGCATTCGAACCCCCGACCAGCGAATCATGATTCCCGCTCTTTTTTTCGATAATGATTCCCGAATCATGATTCCCGCTCTTTTTTTTCAGATAATGAATGATCAGCACCACACTGCGACCAACGAGAGGATGCATTCATTTGCGATGGGCAAATTATCTTATCGTCAACGGTTTTAAGTTTAAACCCACCTCAGCCGCGCGCGCGTACACGATAGGGAAGCCTTGTTTTTTGCTTTTTTCTCCCTTCTTTTCTATTGTTTTATTTTTCCCGTGTGTTTTACTATTTTCTCCGTCTGTTTGCATTTTGGGTATGGGTATGGGTTTTCCGTGTTTACTTTCCCTCCTCTTCTTCCTCCTTGTATTCTCCCTATGGTTATTTTTAGGTAGGAAGGCAGCTGACGAACGAGCGAGCTACCGTAGCCAACATGGACACCAACGTACGGAGACGTGTAGGGAGGTCCCACCTCAATTCTCTTTCGTTGTCAATGGAAGTCACCAGCGCTGACAAAACGAAGCGCCCACCGGGATACCACAATCAGAACGACCACCTCTCTCTCTCTCTCTCTCTCTCTCTCTCTAGTCACCAGCGCTGACAAAACGAAGCGCCCACCGGGATACCACAATCGGAACAACCACCTCTCTCTCTCTCTCTCTCTCTCTCTCTCTCTCTCTCTCTCTCTCTCTCTCTCTC